TGGCCAGCAGGACTAGGGCAGTGATCGTCTGTTTGTACTCTGCATTGGTGAGGCCGCACCTTGAATGCTGTGCTCAGTTTTGGGCCCCTCACTACAAGGACATTGAGGTGCTGGAGCATGTCCAGAGAAGAGCAACAAAGCTGGTGAAGGGCCTGGAGAACAAATCTTATGAGGAGCAGCTGAGGGAGCTGGGGTTGTTTAGTCAGTAGTCTGGAAAAAAGGAGACTGAGGGGAGACCTTATCGCCCTCTCCAGCTACCTGAAAGGAGGTTGTAGCAAGGTGGGGGTTGGTCTCTTCTCCCTGGTAACTAGCGATAGGACAAGAGGAAACAGTCTCAGGTTGTGCCAGGGGAGGTTCAGGTTGGATATTAGGAAGAACTTCTTCACTGTAAGAGTCGTGAGGCATTGGAACAGGCTTCCCAGGGAGGTGGTGGACTTACCATCCCTGGAGATGTTCAAAAAAACGTTCAGATGTGGTGCTTCAAGACATGGTTTAGTGGGTTTAGCAGGCATGGTGGCATTGGGTATACGGCTGGACTTGACCTTTGAGGTCTCTTCCAACCATAATGATTCTATGAACAGAGGAAAGCTAAGATAGGCTGGTAAGAGGTAATGTTCTATGTTGCAGTGTCTCCCATGTGCAATAATTTTTGTTGTTCTGAACGTGTCACGTACATCTGGGCAATTTACTATATAGGAAGAAAGGAAAGAATCTCAAAAACAAACAAACAAAATCCTGTATATTTGCTGGCGCAAGAAAAAGCGATGTTTTTTTTCCACTTACCAAGTTTTGAGAGAACAAATGCATTTGGTTTCTCTGAAAAGACTATACAGTGGAGGATGTTAATGATCCCATAGTCTGTGCTAGAAGAGTTCAGCTAACTGTATTTTTCATCAGCTTTTACTTAAGAAAAAGCAAGCAAATGGTTTTACGGATATTACAAGAAAGGCAATGAAAATAAATAAGTGATTCCATTCATATAGATAATGATAATTTATCCAAAACAAAAATATTGTAAGTGCCCTATGTGGAACAATATACAGTATTTCAGGACAGATTGTAGTGGTGCCATATACAGGACTAAAGTACTTCCTAGTCCTTATTTGCTAGTCAACTGTTTGTATGCATGTCATATCTATTAGAATAGTAGACTGGAGAGCAGGACATATGCAGAGGATTAGAAAGTAGAAGGCAGCTTGTACTTGAGTGCAATGAAAGTATAAATATTAAGATGCAGCGGCACAGTGCCTAGACTAATGCTTGAAATCCTTTAGAATGCTTGATTGTCTGCATATTTACTGTACTGTTGATAAAATGCAGGGCTGTGTTGGAAAAAGTCTTTCATTTGAAAATGAGGAGTTAAGACTGTCTTATGAAAAAGAGGGAGAATCTTCATTAAAGGATGTAAGATTCTTAAGGGTCACCAAGTACTGTCTGGTAATAGTTTTAGTTAAAGGTATTTTTAGATAATTGATTTAATAGAACCAGAACAAATGGCCTGAAGTGTAATGACAGGCAAGTTCAAATTAGAAAGCAGATGTGCATTTTGAATGTATTGCTGTAGTAACTGATTAAATTCTCTATCTCTTGCTGTTCTGGGGGTTTGATTTGGTACTTTTTAAAATGTGCTTCAGCCAAATACAAAGTATTAGACAGAATTTCAGAGGTAAAAGGTCAGTTGTTCTGGTCTGTTTTGCTCTTAATTCTAGTATGTTGATATTGCAGCATTCATACTAACCACTTATAATACTAGGTTCAGAATGAGAACTTAAGATTATTAACAATAACCGAGTAAACAGAAGAAAGACTTGATCTTTCTTTTGAATTGCCCTATCTTGTTCATTATGTTTAGGCATTGTATTGTCTTAACTATGTTTTTTGTGAGGTATTGAGATTGGAGAATGGGTGCAGAGTCAGGTTTTCTTTTTTCTTTTTTTTTTTTTTAAACTGTTGTTTCCCCCCGCAGTGGTGAAATTTGTAAAACAGACAGGAAAAGCCAGGTTCCTGAGTTAAATAAGAGAGAGAAGGAATGAAACGGGGGGCAGGGGCACCCCGCAAGAAAAACCCCAACCAAAAACTGGAGGTAGCAAACACTAACAGCAGGTGGAGAAAGAATCTGAAAGTGGCAATGACGGAAGTGAAAGTATTACTGCATACTCTTCTACCACTGTGATGATGAAATGGGTATCATTAGATTCCCCTTTTTTTTTGTATTTTTTTGTTTTTAAAGATACTGCTTAGTCTTTCCAATTCTTATCATCCATCATTTACCGAAAATCTTGGTTCAGTTAATCTTCAGTTCTGTTATATGGTTTTCTTTTATAGGTGGTTGGTGTATCTGCTGTGCTTGGCACGGGACTGGATGATTTTTTTGCTCAGCTTTCTAAAGCTGTAGATGAATATGAGAGGTAAGGTGGTAACCTTTGGTCTCTGACCCAGTGAACATTTGCTGAAGTTACTGATTCATGAGCCCACTCTTTTGATCTGAAGAACTGTACACTTTTCACAGCCAAGGTAGTCTAGAGTTTCTAATAAACTTAAGTGCAAGAGTCAGCATAAAAAGCAGCAGTCAAAGGGAACTATTCAGTGGTGGATTTCTGTGCTAGCTGTTCAGTGAAAAAGTAAAAGCTATCTGTGCCAGCAAATCTGTGAAGTCATTTTTTTCCTCTGATTCCATACAATGATCAAGATTTGACTTGTCCTCAGAAGCTAACAGATCAGTTTGGCAGACTGAATAGATGAGCAAATTAAAATTCAATAATTCTTTGAGAATTTGCTCCTTACTGGATTCCTCCCCATGAAATATTGCCAGGCGGCTCTATAACATTAGAAGGCAAATCCAATAACTTAGATTACGTGGAAATACCTAAACTAGACCATAGATTATTGTTAGAGGAAAATATATCATGCTGGATTGGATAGCCAGAGAGAGGCTGCTACAGCTTCATGCTCCCAGGTCTGATTAGTCTGGACTGATCATGCCCCCAGGTCTGCATACGGCCCAGTCTCTGCTTACATGCAAGTGGACCTTTTTATTCCCTTATCCCTCTATTTCCCACACTTGTTCCTCCCCAAATCTCCTAAGTCTCACCCTTTTCCCACCTTTGGTTCCCCCCTAAACATCCCATAATAAATCCTGTCCTATCCCCAAGTGCTCTTTCTCTGTTTCCCATAATGTGTCTTGCACCCCTAAGCAGCCACCATTCTGTGCTCGCAAGGTGATCCAGAGAGCTCCCAGTAAGGCATGGTGATAGGTTTCATGCCTGGACCATAGGGCTGATGGTTCTCATGGGACAGCCCTGGGAGGAGCTGGGATAGGGTATGCCTTCCTCCAAGACCTTAAGTAGGATTTGTTGCCTGCCAGCATGCCCCTGTGTTCCTCTGGGCTTGTGGAGGTGGATCTTTGATGGTTTGATGGCTCTCCTGTGACAGGCCTGGGAGTATCTGGGCAGGGTATTATTTCTGCTTTCGCTCCCCTCCCCTGCCCCTGGTCTCTCTGCACTCTTTGGAGGTGCTGAGGAGTTTTACCACATAACCTAACAATTATTCTGTGGTACACTGCCTACATAATGAAACCCTAGTTAAGGGTTTCATGTAAGCTACCATTGTGTGCTTGCAGACCAGAAGGGCAATCGTATCCTAGGCCGCATCAAAAGAAGTGTGGCCAGAAAGTTGAGCCAGGCGATTCTCATTTTCTACTCCGCTCTCATGGTACCCCGCCTGAAGCACTGTTTCCAGCTCTGGGGCCCACGGTACAAGACAGACATGGACCTGTTAAGAGTTGGTCCGGAGGAGGACCATGAAAATGATCAGAGGACTGGAGCACTTCTCGTGTGAAGAAAAACTGAGAGAGTTGGGTTGTTCAACCTGGAGAAGGGAAGGTTCTGGGGACACCTTATTGTGGCCTTTCAGTATATAAAGGGACTTATAAGAAAGATGGAGACTTTTTACTAACGCCTATAGTGACAGGACAAGGGACAATGGTTTTAAACTGAAAGAGGGTAGATTTAGATTGGACATAAGGAAGAAATTTTTTACAATGACGGGTGGTGAGACTCTGGACCAGTTTGCCCAGAGAAGCTGTGGATGCCCTGTCATTGGAAGTGTTCAAGGTCAAGTTGGATGGGGTTTTGAGCAACCTGATCTAGTGAAAGATGTCCCTTCCCGTGGCAAGGGAGGTTAGACCAGATGAGGTCCCTTCCAATGCAAACCATTCCGTGATTCTAAGAAGAGGGTGTCCACATCCACTTTATCATTCATTAAAGAAATATTTCGAAGGTCCCATAGTGGTACAATAGTTTGGAAGTTCGTGAACAGTCTTTCTGTATGAGATCCCATTGAACTGTCTTAGGAGGCACAAGTACTGGCAGAGAAAGTCATACTCTGTGATTAGAGGAAAGTAATAGATCTGCTGATTAGATGTAGCAGTGAAATGACTACTTCAGTCGAGCTGGTTTAATGTCTTATGCAACAAGATGGTATGAGGAAGGCTTGCTATTTTAATGAAGTATGTTCATTTATTTTGCATCCGTTGGTTTCGGAATCCGAATCTGGGTAAAAAGTACTATTAGTCTTTCTGAAATGTCTCTCAAACATGAATCCTAGAGAAAACTTTTTTGGGGTAGAAACAAGCCTCCAAGATGATATATAAATCATGTGTTAGTTCAGACTGAATGCACTCTGTTTATCTTTTCAGAGAATATCGTCCAGAATATGAGCGCCTGAGAAAAACACTGGTAAGTATTTTTAACTATTGTATACCTGGGCAGTGTATCTTGGGGTCACTTTTATGCACACAGTTGCCTTTATGTTGTGAAGGTCTAACGTTTCATTTAGTAATCGTACTCATTGTGGAAAAACTCTAGTCCTGAAGCTCACCATCTGTCTTTTTTTCCTAGATTTGGTGGAGCATATCTTCACAAAAATAAAGATGTTTTGTAAAACAGATGTTGCTTAGTGGTTTAGTGCTCATAATTTCTTTGGGCAAATTGTGAGAAAATGATTGGGAAAGATTTTTATATCTTCCATTCAGAAGGATAGAGGCTTTTTAAAAAATAACTTTCTGAAGTGATTTGTTGAGAATATCACTGTATCTTTTTGCACCAGTGAAGTGTACTGTTTTGACTTAGACAATTAATAACGAAGACTCAATTGAAGTACCAGAATCAGTAGCTCTGCTCACCTTAATTTCCAGCTGTCCAAAGGACAGTTCTCTGCAGGCACAATTTCACTGAGTTTGGCTTCCTGACGCTGCTGAAAATGTTCTTGAAGTCCATCGCGCTGGAGGTTGTTTTCCATGTTTATCCAAAAGTTCTGTGTAACCTTAGTTGTAATGTAAGACCTGCTCATTGACTTCTGCTTTCTGGCTGGGGGACAGACTGCTAGTATTGGGTGAGATTACGCTTCTACTAATGTTTTAAATGTACTCAGAATCCACATGAAACTGTACCTACAGGAGAACGCTCAAAATAAACAAAAGAGAGAGCAGCTGGAACACTTGTGGAAGGACATGGGCGGTGTGTGTGTGCAGGGCAACACACTTGCAGGTACCTTACTAGGAAGATTAAGTTTGCTGCAGAAATTGTCTGAAGAGTCTGCCTTGAGAAGTCATAGTGCTTTTCTGTCTTCACAGCAAAAGCGTGAAAGCAGCTTCATGTTAGTAAAGAGGAGTGGGGCTCTAGTTCCTGTGGGATGGGTCAGACTTAGCTCTTCTGTGTGTCAGTTACAGACATGAGAAGAAACCCTGCTGTGTAGATAAAGCCGTGGAGATACTAGAAGTAATGAAATACTTTAGAAAAGGTGAAGCAGTCAAATCAGAGTATGAGAAAGCTCTGCTGTTGGTTGAACTATTGCCTTATATGAGCTAGAGTATGATGCTGATGCAATCTGTCCTGTATCTTTGGAATCTGGAAGCAGCTTTCTGTCCCTTTAGACTAGGCATTAAGTGCTGTGTTTATGTGTAAATAGAAACTGTCAAGGCACAAGCTAACTTGCTTGTTAGAATGCTGTTTTGTGTATAGCCATTTTTGTTCCCTTCAAGGGTCTGATGATGCTTCTGCAATGGGTCCCTCTGAGCTCATCCTAACACGAGGAACTCTTGATGAAGAAGAGAGGGAGAGTGACACTGATGACATTGACCATGAAGGTAAGGGAATGAGGGATCTGATCTGGTCTAAAAGCTGCCTGTCTAGTCAGGAAATACCCTCTGTATTTCATTAACTGGATTGACTGTAATGAGAGCCTAGAAAACAAGCAACATTCAGTCACCTAGATAATAGGTGTTGGAATTTGTAGCAGAAGCCAAACTGCAATGCTTAATCCAGTGATATGACTCTCTAACCTTTGTGAAAATTCAATTGTAAATTTTCTATTCAAGTAATTATTTTTAATAGGTGTATAACATGCATAAACCAGACAACTTGTTGTGCTTGGAGCATGCAGTGACCTCTGGACCTGATTAAAGTACAATATGTTTCATCATCTTTTTGGCCTTACAGTTTCTGCCCCTGGATCTCTTCCCTTTTCCTGTGATTCCTGGTCTTGGAGCGATCTTCTAAGTTCTTCCAGTGTGTGGTTTTGTTTTGTTTTGTTTTGTTTTGTTTTTCTCTTATATAGCTCTCAGACTTAATCTTCATTCTTTCTCTGTTACATTGATTTTTAGGATCACTTATTTCTTTTGCCTTGTAATGAAGTTGAAGATCAAATAGCCTCTGAGTAGCCTGGCTCTAGCTTTCTTCAATAACACAAGTAGAACAAGTGCTGAAATAGTGCTAAACTGTGGATGTTTTTGCCCCCAGTTACTGAGGAGAGTCACGAAGAACCAGCCTTCAGAAACTTTATGCAAGAGACACGAATGAAATACCAGAGAAGAAGCAACCCGAGTGAATGAGACCTTCAGAAACAGAGGGTTTGGAATCATTTGTAATGGAGTTAAAAGTAAAGGAACAATATAAAGAAACTTGCATGGAACCATGCATGAAGTCTTTGATCTGTGAACAGCTTCCTCTGATATATCTTTCTTCCTGCGGTAGCTGTTGGTCATATGAGTTGAAGGTCTTGTATTCAACTGACTGCTGTTTGGCCATCTGCCACTGTGACTTCCTGAAGCTGAAGGAACCAGATAGCACTTTCTTTTGCTCCAAATCCATTAGGTGTACCTGTTGAGAGCTTAGATTTTGAGCTCTGACAGCATTACCATCTAGAGTACTTACTGGTCTCCAAAAGTGCATTCTGTTCACCTTGTGCAGACAGCTGTCTGCTGCAGCCAGGACACAAATGAAATCTCGACTGCTTGAAGCATCATCAATCCAGTGTTTGATGTTTTGGTTTTAATTAAACATATTTTATGTAATACAAATGTGTGATGGTTAGTAGCAGGAGATTTCATTTCACCGTTATAATGTGAGACTTTTTTTTCTGTGCTTACACCCCACCCATGTGGATGTGCAGCAAATGCATCAAAATTACATTACGTAGACACAATACAGATGCCTCCTAGGAAAATCGAGTACAGAAAGTTCCCAGGAGGGAAAGTAACAAAAAGAATCTGGCTTGAATTGGCCGAGAACTGAAGTATACATGGCTGTGTAATGGCTGCATAGCTGTAGGTAACATAAAAGAAAGGTGTTTGTGTAGATGAGTGCTTACATGGAAATTTAGACAAGGACTTGGAGATTGGCTAATACTTATTTTTCTGACAGGCACCATGGGAACGTCGGTACCGCAGCTCGGGTGCTGCACACGCGTTGTGGACCCCGCTGCAACGCTTGCTGCTGCCGCCTGGTGACCCAAATTCAGTACTGCAGCTCGGGCAACACCCGTGCATGGTGGTGCAGTTTGCCGTGCTCGCTGCTGCCGCCCGGAGACCAAAATTTAGTACTGTAGCTCGGGTGCTATGTATGCGCGGTGGCGCCCCCGTGCTCCAAGCTGCCATCCTCCCCTAATGGCAATGCGATACTGTGGTGGCTGTGGGGGGTTGCAGCTGCACTCATTGCTGCCTCTCGGTGAGGAAACGCTGCTGCCGCCCCACGTACACGGTGTTAGCAGGTTCTCAGCGCACAAGGCGCGGAACTGCAGCACCATTGCTGCCCCTGGGCAAGCACCGCCTGACGGGTGCTCACTGCTACTGCTGCAGCCTGGCGGCTGATACGCGGTACTGCAGCCCGGCATTGTGCACCGGCTCTGGCCCTCGCTGGCCAGCACATGCGCAGTGCCCGGGGGCACCATGGTGGCATGCAGGGTGCAGCTCCCGGCGTTGGCGGTGAGTGAGGGCTGAGGCCACTGGTGAGGCGAGCGATCCCTTTGGCACGTGCAGGGGCGTCTCCTGCCCACTGGCCATCCCCATAAGGTGGGACAGGAAGCTTCAAACCGCTTGCTGCACCAGACTCCTGCTCTGCTGGAGATGAGTTGGGTCAGGGCAGCCCCAGGGAGTCACAGGAGAGCTGACAGAAGGGAAGAGGGGAAGGAGGCAGGTCCACCCAGGTACAGGTGCCAGGCACCTCCCCAACTCGCCAGAACTTCCCCTGAGTCTCCTCCCCTGGCCCCACTCATCCTGTGCAGCTGCTCCCAGCTCGATCACCCACGACGTC